CACTACATCAATTTTGGCGTGTAGGAACGGCTTTACTCCGTCATTACCTTCTTCTTAGGCTGAGACAGACCTGTGGGCTAGTAAGCGTCCTATAATGTGTATTTATATCTATATGGACTACTTTAGTAATTGTTGAGTTATTTAGGATGTATCTGCGTATCGGGTCTTTGTATGTATTGTAGTAGAATAGAACTTCCTAGTAAGCCTGACCCACTCTTATTTTTCAGGTATTCATCAGTTCCAGGCTTAGGGTGTGATCGTGCTGAGCAGATACAGTCACTAACTCCTCCGGCTACGTAGGATTTCCTTTCATGTTTTAGTTTTGGATTTTGTTTCTGTATTTTACTTTCATTTGGGATTTTATTAGGGGTCCACTAGATGGATTCCCAAGTTGTACGGATATTGAAAAGTTTGGATTTTATTAGTAATAACTTTTGAGGATTTTAATATTTAGAATTCTTTTCAGCCTTTATTATTTTATTCCTAATTCTTTTTGTATTTCTGCTTATTTACATATTAATTGTCTGGTATTCCTTGGATCTGTGCTCGGACTTGATCACCCGTGGCTCTAGAATTGAGGGGTATCACAGAATGGTATCAGAACCTGACCTATCCAGAAGTGTGTCGACGAGGATGTCGGGACTCCAAGGGGGATGAATTGTGATGATCCTGTGGGCGGGTGTGCCATGGGTGGGTGCGAGATACTGGCAGGCTACCACACTGGTGAGCTACGGGTGCCCAGTCCTACATCGTCTGGGTAAAGGAAAGGTGAAGTGCTTATATATGGTGGTGTCACTCTAATTGGTATGAGACCTTTTGGGCTGAAGCCCAAGAGCAAAACTGTGCGGGCTCAGGCCCAAAGCGAACAATTTCATACCATGTGGTGGAGTGGGTCGTTACAAAAAGTGTTTTTCTTCATGGTATTTTGCAGGAAGAAGTTTATGTAGCACAACCAAAAGGTTTTATTGATCCACATAATCCTGATTTTGTTTTTCATCTTAAAAAAGGCTCTTTATGGTTTAAAGCAAACACCTAGAGCATGGTATGAGAAGTTGACTTCTTATTTATTGCACAAGGGCTTCAGAAGAGGAGGAGCGGATAAAACGCTGTTTATTTTCAGGAAAGGAATAGATTTTCTTGTTGCTCAAATATATGTGGATGATATTATTTTTGGTGCTACATGTGATAACCTTATTCATACTTTTTCTAAAGATATGAGTAAAACTTTTGAAATGAGCATGGTTGGTGAACTGATTTTCTTTCTAGGTCTTCAGTTGAAATAACTTGATAATGGGATTTTCATAGCTTAATCAAAGTATGCAAATGAGTTAGTTAAGAAGTTTGGTATGAAAGATTTAAAACATAATTAAACTCTTATGAGTACTTCATCCAAATTGGACAGAGACTCTGATTCTAACAAGGTTGATCATTTCTTGTATAGGAGTATGATTGGTAGCTTGTTGTATTTGGCAGCAACTAGGCCAGATATTTCATTTAGTATAGGTGTTTGTGCTAGGTATCAAGCTGATTCTAGAGAACAACACATTCTTGCAGTCAAGCACATTATTCGTTATGTCAATAGTACATTGAATTATGGATTGCGTTATTCTTCTGAGTCTAATTCTGAGATTGCAGGCCGTACTGATGCTAATTGGGCAAGAAACAAGGAGATAGATAGAGTACTTCAGGTGGTTGTTTCTATATTGGTACTAATCTTGTTTCATGGTACAGTAAGAAGCAAATTGCATATCTTTATCATCTTGTGAAGCTGAATACATTGTTGCTAGAAATTGTTGCACACAATTACTTTGGATGAAACAGATGCTTCTGGATTATGGAGTTGATCAATGTACTATTGCTATCTTTTGTGATAATACTAGTACAATTAATATTTCAAAGAATCCAGTTTTGCATTCTAGGACTAAGCACATTGACATTCGACATCATTTTCTTAGAGAACTTATTGAACAAAATGTCGTGTCTTTGGAAAAAGTGCATACTGAACAGAATTTGTCTGATATTCTCACTAAACCATTAGATGCTCCTAAGTTTTCTTATTTTAGAAAACTATTGGTGTTTGTTGTCTTGATTAGATGCATTACGAAGACATAGTCTATAAAGGATTTTCATGTATATCTTGAGAGTCTAGATTATGTTTTTGAAGATAAGCAAACCATATTGATTGGGTATGTTAAACACAAGAAGTTTAATGGCACATGGATTATCTATAGACATCATACAATGGCTATGAATTGATAAAATTGATTTTGCTTACTTATTTCGTATAGTAAATGAATCATTGATAGTACATTTACTTAAGATGTCGTTGTTTTGGTCAAAGATAATGTTGAAATGATTGATCATTGTCTTGAAATTTAAACTTGCTTTATGTGTTTTAGACCAAAAGAGTGAAAAGAAAAGAAAATTGAAAAACAGATTGGAATGAAAAAAAATTTGAAAAAGAAAGAAAAATATTTGTTTTTTTGAAAAAAAAGGTGAGATGGAAAATGCTACATTTGGGATTTATCTGAAAGCTACCTTGACTCAAAACAAACGGGAATAAGGGAAAGAGCTAGTTGCCCATAAGCATGAAAGCTGCTAATGTGAAAAAAGAAAAAGAAAAATAGAGCATAAAGAGAGATTAAAAAAAAAATGTCTTTTGCACATGTTAATTGTTTGATTTCTAAGGATATGTGATATCATTGATTTATTTTCTGAAATTTGAACGATTAACAGATCATATGTTTTTGGAACTTGGTGGCGATTTTACTATACTTACTAAGTTTGTGGAACTGAAAAGAATTGATCTTGGTTATCTCTGTTGATACATATAAACTTGTGGAGTCTATATTCTCATTGGTTTCAATTTAACAAGATTTATATGGTTGGTTGCTTCCTTCTTCTGGGATTTTTTCTTTCTTGATACCCTTGTTTATTTGTGACAAAAAGGGGGGAGAGAGTTGAGATACTTATCATTCAGGGGGAGAGATACTTTTTGCATTAAGGGGGAGAACTTTTTGCATTGAGGGGGAAAACCATTGATCATTGCACGTTTAACTTGCATTGATATTCAGGCATTATTAGCTTTGCTATTTTATGCTTGTGTTTATTTTCTTGATTAAGCTTCACGGGTAGTTGTGTTTTAGCTAATGTGCAGATTACAGGTTGTTATATGTGTTGAAGCTTTATGAGGTTCAAGAAAATTTTCGCGTTTTATTTCCTTTAACAATCAATGTAATTTACCTTCCTGCTTGGGTAGATTGCTGAATTGTTTTTAGGGTTTTGTCATGAAATTGTCAAAGGGAGAGATTGTGAGATATATTTTGTAATTGGCTAATTTCGTTGTCAAAATAAGTCCGATCGAGTTGTAATTTTTCGGCTCAAAATTTCAAAGATTGAAGATCGGATGCGGATTTGAAGAAAGTCAAGAATTTATGTGATACTACACTCCGAGATAACGAGAACAATACTCTAAGAAGTTTAAGGGTAGTAAGAACATCTATGACGGGTTTTGAAAGGTTCGAAACATTGAATTGCCTAAGTTTCAAGACTGGCCATCTTGAACTGGTTCAAGAAGGCTGAATCGGTTCAAGAATTAGTGGGATTCCTTACTGGCCATCTTAAACCAGTTCAAGATGGCTGAACCAGTTCAAGAAGCCCTGGATGCATTAGGTTTTCAAGTTTCTATCTTCTGATGTTTCCTTTTTGATCCCAGATTCCTTCTAAATTCTATGCACGAAATTTATCTTATTTTCTGAAGGATTAGGGCTTTCAAAACTCTATATAAACCATGTCATATACATTGGTTGAGGAATGGCTTTAGGGAAAATCAATTATATATTTTGAGAAAACCTTCTAGAAAGAGAATTCAGAAAATCAATATGATTATTCTGAATTTATTTATGAGAGCATACACATATATTCATGAGTGATTTAGTGGTGTTGTTCTCTATTCTATCGGAATTTGAGCTATACTGAAGATTCAGATATTCTAGATGAGAAACAGGATTTAATTCTTCTACAATCGAGTTCAGATCTTGAAGAAGAGAAGTAAATGCAATCATACTTTGAAAGGGTTGGAGCATTCGTGGAGTGTTATCTGATCTACCTGCTACTCTTCTACAAATATCAAGTGTAAGTCTGAGATTAAGTTGCTGTTGGACGGGAAGTCGCAAAGCCAGAGGATCGTCAGCGGTTGGTGTGGTGTAGAACGATAGGGTGTGAGCCATAGTCAAAGTTCGGTATACTTTGTTTCAAGTATAGTGGATTAGTTTACTTTAGACTGTACAGTATACGAGGTTTTTTCCATAACAGTTGACGTATTTTATCAACTGGGATTTCCTTGCTAAAATCCTGGTGCAATCTCTCTAACTCTAACTTGCTTTACTTTTCATATATTTGTGATTGTAGATATTTAAATTGATAATATAATTTAATCAATCATAAATTAATCAAGTTGACCTAATAATCAGATCTAGGTCATTAAAACAGTTCATCACAATTAAAATCAACTAATTATTTTCGCACCCCGCGTAACTCTTATTTCACAGAACATACCAAAAAAAAAAACATATTCTTGTAAGTCTAGACTTCCTACATATTTTTAATTTTACCACAATTTAGTAAAAGTCCATATAAGATTTCTTTTGACAGCCACTAATAATAGTATGTTATTCTCTTTTGTGTTTCTTTGATCATTTCTGTGAGAACCCTCCAAGTCAGACTTATGGCAGGCAATCGTTCCATGTGTCATACTTCATCAACATAAATTCAGAGTAGCATACAATAATTGAATCTGGAGTCAGACAAACAACACACACATATATATATACACACACACACGTACAATCTGTCTAAATCGACGTCAAATGAGCCAGAATCACTTCAAATTTTAGATGCACATTTGAGCATCGCATTTAGCAAAAATATATGTGAGACATGTAAGATATCCCACATCGAATTCAATTAGAGAGAATCTTGGACTTCTAAAGACAGATATGTAGCTTCATTCAATAATTTAAATATTTTTTTGTTGGAAGGCAAGCCCTCCATTATAAAGTTGAACAATTATTATATAGTACAATTTTAATTCTAAAACATGAGGTTTGTACTATCAAGCATTATTATTGACATAATTAAGAGAGCAAATAAAAATTTAAGATCAATTCGGAAGGAGAGTGGACATGTTTATGAAGAATCAAGTACTCAATGGTATTTCTGGGCAATCTCAAGCAAACACAGGCTGAGTTCTTTAGGTTTTGAAAGCATGGCCATATGATCAGCTTCAGCAATGTACTTCACTTCTTCAGTTGGGCTATGCTCAATCATCCATTTCTGGAGTTCTTCGTGATCACTTTTGCACACTACATAAGCCCGACTTACCGACCCGAATTTCTCTTCTGTTAGCAGAGATTCCCGGGTCAGGTCACCAAAGAAAAACCCTCTTGGGCCACTTGGCCTTACCAACATCTTGGCTAATTCAATGTCCTGCATACAATGAAACATACAATAGACATAAAAATAAAAAATAAATAAATAAAAAAGACGACCTTTTCCTAGCAATTTATTGGTATGAAATTGTTTTAGACCTTCACCTCGGGTTGGCAGTTAATATAAAATTTAGTTGCCATGAATTCTGGACCAAATAGTATGGATGTTGGTGGTTTTTCTGGGCCCTTATCAAATGTAATTTGACAATCCATCGGAGAGCCTGAAGAGATCAATCTGAAAAACTGTTTTCCAAAACAAAATCATAAAAAATAAAATGCATACAATTCAGAAATGAAAATAGATCGATTTAGTATATATTTTGTAAAGGTAAAGGTAAAAAAAAAAAAAAAAATTGTATCCATCGGTTCCGTTTGGATACACGAGAGAAAAGAAAGGAGACATAGTATTAGTTATGAGAGAAGAAAACAAAGGAAATAATTTATATTCATGTTTGGATAGATATGATAAATAAAAAAAAATTAAAAATTAAAAATAAAATCCTATTCATGTTTGGATATGATAGAAGGAAGAAAACAAAAAAAAAATTAACAACCAAATTATTACTATGCCTTTTTAAATAGACAAGACATAACTGAAATAATAATTTATTTCTTTTTAATTATTGAGGGCATTTTCAAAATTATAAAAATATTATTTAAACACAATCATTTTTCTCCTTATTTTTCTTCTATCTCATTTTAAACCATTCAAATATAATCTATCTCGAAGTCGGGTTTGAAACGGAAACACTTTCTTGGTGAGATTGTGTACATAAAATTCCTTCGGATTCTGTAAGTCCTGTGCATCAAATTAGTCTCTTTTATCGTTGCGGTGATCCGTGGATCTTAATCTATAGGCTTTGGTATCTACTGATCGAATAAGATTGTAAATAACTTCTGTGCTGAAGAGGTGAGGCTGCATATATAAATATATCCAAATCTTGCAAAGACAATTGTCTTATGCACTGAAGTAATCCTATTTATTGTTACATACCGTGGTGGTGGGTGAATCTCAATCTATAATTTATCTACTGATTCAATAAGATTTTCTACTAAAAATTTCTTAAATCAAAGGTAACAATTGTAACAATAAAGCCCTATTAATCCAAATAAGAATTTGAAAATTGATGTCACACACACATATATATAGATATCCCTAAAAGGGGAGATTTTCTTACTTCCTGTAAACAGGTAGCTGGTGGGTCTCTATGATTGGGCATGAAGGCTGCGATGAAAATTGCAACAGAGATCTTCTCAGGGAAGCTCTCCATGGCTAGAGAAATGCAAAAGCCACCATAACTGTGCCCAACCAGGACCACCCTCTCACCATGAGGCAGGGAGGCCATGAAGTCCATCAACGGCTGCACGTACTCGAATAGGGAAGCGATCTCATCAGGCCGCCTCGAGTCCACCCCACTTGCTGCGAGATCCAAAGCTGTGACGCTGTGACCGACTGATTTGAGCAGGGTGACAAGCTTGTACCAGCACCACGCTCCATGGCCAGACCCATGAACGAGAACAAAGTGTTTCCCACTCTCCATTTCTTGTAACGCACAATGGCTAATTTCTTACTTAGAGGGAACAAATGAAGAAATAAGAAGTTAATTTAATTTCGTGACGATTTATGGTCCTCGTGAATTGAATTGGGTAATGTGTGGTTTGTTACTAAGATATATATATATATATATATATATATATTAAGAGAATTGAAAATAAAAAAATTGCCGAGTATATAAAAACTCTGCATTGTTGGATCTTTATTTTTGAATTTCTTAAAATAGTTTTCTAAAGACCTATGAAGCGCGGACACTCCTCCCAGGGGCCCCGTACCCGTGTCGGATACTTTTCGGACACCGACACCCGTGTCCGAGGCTCGGACACGTGTCCGACACTTCTGTAAAGTGTCCAAATATTATTTTTTATTAGACACGCGTGTCCGAGGTTCGGACACACGGTCCGACACTTCTGTGAGACAAAATTTATTTTCTCTCACTCCTCTCAGTTTTTCCTCTTCTTCAATTATCTCTCTTCATGAACAAGATATATATATATATATATATATATATATATATATATATATATATATATTTTAGTTACATGAACAAAACTTTGTGAAAGACTAAAAGTATATATGTTTATTCATATACATATTTAGTTCATTATAGGTATGTCTCTTCTGCACATCTTCTTTTGGAATTTGGATCAACTTTATTTTTCATTTATTTTCTGTTTTGCCTTATCTATATTTTTCTTATAACAGAGATGAAATTATTGAAATTGATTCTGTTCTTTGTTGTTGTTTTATTTTTCTGTACAAGATTCTAGTAATTATATTTTGAATATATATATATATATATATATATATAGGCGTATCCTCGCCGTGTCCGTGTCCTATTTTTTTTAAATTTGCCGTGTCGCCGTATCCGTGTCGTGTCGTACCCGTGTCCCGTATCCATGTCTGTGCTTCATAGCTAAAGACAAACCAATCAGACCATATTGAATATAACTCCTGACCGGCTATTCAGCGTTGACCAAGGGACCAAGACAATGGGCGACCATTGCTCTCTCTGCTGGAGCGCCAAAACCGAAAGCAATCTTTGTTTTCCAAGTCAAATTAGAGTTTTGGACTCAAGTTCCCTAACCTAATTTCAGCTTGAGTGAAAAGAAAGAAGTCTTTGATGGGAGGTTGGAGGATAAGACCTGCACAATTATCCTTAGCTTATAGAGCTGCAACTTGGGTGGGTTTAACCCAAATTAATCCGACTGCAGTTCGAAAATTTTCAAACTTGATTGTGCAAATTGCAATTTGATAGGTACTTGAATCGAAAATTAGGACTTGGTTTCATTTCACATAGCTCGGGTTACTATGTCGGCCAACTTGAAGCCCAACCCAAATTACAAAACTCGACAAACCTAAACTATGAACCTGATTTCATACCTCAAGATTATGCATAGGCGGATTGAGAGGGGGGGCTTGGGTGGGCTTGAGTGCCCCCCCCCCAAAAAAAAAAAAAATAATACATAAATTAGTATAGGAAAATTTAACCCACTATCAAAATAAAACAAATTTTAGTAGTAGTATTAACCCCTCAAATATTAGCCCATCTAAACAAGCCCAAGATTTTAGCTATAATTTTAAAATAAAAGCCCAAGCCCAACCAAACATGCCCAAGCCAAACAAGCCCTAAAGCCTGACTATAGAGAGATCAGAGAGCTCCCTCCAATATATCTAAATTCCTAGTCTTTTATGTAACCGAGACTCTCTCCCTCTAACCCTATTTCAGTATTTTTTTAAAAAAAATTTCAACTCTTTCATCTTTCTATCCCCATTTTTCGTTAGCCCCCCTATTAACAATTCTTGGATTCGCCCTTGAGATTATGGTTGGGGGTTAAGGATTTCATATGGCAAGTTAATCCCGAGTTGAGCCTACAACCCATCTGAGTTAACTTTACTCTCTTAGGCTAGTTTCAACTATATTACGCTTGGAAGTGTTAAATTCATACTTTAAAAAAAGGGTTACATGCAAAAAAAAAAAAAAAAATCTTTACTATCAATATAGTGCAAACAGGTTTCTGTGTGGTATAAAACCCCCTATACTATTAATTTGGTGCAAATAGATCCATGTATAATATAAAATGACGATAATACCCTCATTTCAGTTGAATAAATTAATAAATAAAAATATAGGCCATGTAAAATGACTTTTTTGTCCAATTTGTGTAAAATTGTGTTTGTTTGGGATAAGAATAAAATAAACCTCAATTTGTATAAAATTGGGATAAACTAAACTATAGAAACCTAAAACTGGGTATAATGAAAATCGAAACCTAACAGTCCCTTGTATAAAGACACACTCAACAACGAATTTGAGTGATCGAAGGTGTAGGCACTTTCCAAAGGTGGTGGAATCAAATAGCATTTGATGACAAATCAAATATAGAAAACAATAGTTTGATTGCTGCTAACTCTATGGCTGTCCGATCACAATTGGAATACTCCTCTATTTGTTGATGCATCTGGGATAATCCTCTATCTGTGGCTTACCTTCCATATACTTGAAAAAAATGTCTCTCCTAGCCAATTCCATCTCACCTTTTCTCACAAGCCCACCTTCAATCCCTTCAACCCACTTCACTAATGTCTCTGTGACAAATTATCAAGCTGCCATGGAAGGTAAGCCACAAATAGCGTTTTTTAGGGAGAGAAAAATGACCACCAAAATAAAATTATAATTATAATTACTAAACTAACTTTCAATTTTTTTGCTTTCAAAATATTGAAAATAGAAAAAATTATTGAACACAATTTTACTTTTTATTTCATTTTCTAACCCTATAGAGAGAGAGCAATTTTACTTTTTATTTCAGTTTAGGAAATGGGTTCTTTTGGTTCGGTTTGAATCTCAACTTATAAGATTGTGAACCCCTTCATAATTACGTAGACTGGAAAAGGAGAGGCTTCTAACCATCTTTCTAATAGGATTGAGGCTTGTTTTGAGGCTGACTTTGCGGTATTGAGATCCTTTCTTTAAGTTCCTGAAAGAGATATCCCTTGGTAATAAGTTTGGTGGGGTGGGGGTTATATGCACATATGGGTGAGGGGTAAAATAAGAATTAAAAGGGTAAAATAGGATTTTTATATTTAGTTTTTGTCAAAAAGTGGTCAGATGGGTTTACTTGCACAGTTTTTGAATTTTATGGACTAACATGCATATTTTCAAAAAGTATGGATTAGTTCTACATAAACCCTATATATTAGGGGTTTTTTTTGCACTTTAACCTTAAAAAAAAAAGTGAAAAGACAAAAGTTAGTGCAAAGTAAATTCATTTTTTTGATGTAAATTTTTTACTAAACAACTTCAAACTCTCGCATTCACAATAATGCAAAATCTTATCTATGAGAGACAAAACATTTCTTAAATTCTTATCCTTCTTGTGTATGAGAGACAAAACATTTCTTAAACACTTTCTTGGTGAGATTGTGTACATAAAATTCCTTCGGATTCTGTAAGTCCTGTGCATCAAATTAGTCTCTTTTATCGTTGCGGTGATCCGTGGATCTTAATCTATAGGCTTTGGTATCTACTGATCGAATAAGATTGTAAATAACTTCTGTGCTGAAGAGGTGAGGCTGCATATATAAATATATCCAAATCTTGCAAAGACAATTGTCTTATGCACGGAAGTAATCCTATTTATTGTTACATACCGTGGTGGTGGGTGAATCTCAATCTATAATTTATCTACTGATTCAATAAGATTTTCTACTAAAAATTTCTTAAATCAAAGGTAACAATTGTAACAATAAAGCCCTATTAATCCAAATAAGAATTTGAAAATTGATGTCACACACACATATATATAGATATCCCTAAAAGGGGAGATTTTCTTACTTCCTGTAAACAGGTAGCTGGTGGGTCTCTATGATTGGGCATGAAGGCTGCGATGAAAATTGCAACAGAGATCTTCTCAGGGAAGCTCTCCATGGCTAGAGAAATGCAAAAGCCACCATAACTGTGCCCAACCAGGACCACCCTCTCACCATGAGGCAGGGAGGCCATGAAGTCCATCAACGGCTGCACGTACTCGAATAGGGAAGCGATCTCATCAGGCCGCCTCGGGTCCACCCCACTTGCTGCGAGATCCAAAGCTGTGACGCGGTGACCGACTGATTTGAGCAGGGTGACAAGCTTGTACCAGCACCACGCTCCATGGCCAGACCCATGAACGAGAACAAAGTGTTTCCCACTCTCCATTTCTTGTAACGCACAATGGCTAATTTCTAACTTAGAGGGAACAAATGAAGAAATAAGAAGTTAATTTAATTTCGTGACGATTTATGGTCCACGTGAATTGAATTGGGTAATGTGTGGTTTGTTACTAAGATATATATATATATATATATATATATATTAAGAGAATTGAAAATAAAAAAATGGCCGAGTATATAAAAACTCTGCATTGTTGGATCTTTATTTTTGAATTTCTTAAAATAGTTTTCTAAAGACCTATGAAGCGCGGACACTCCTCCCAGGGGCCCCGTACCCGTGTCGGATACTTTTCGGACACCGACACCCGTGTCCGAGGCTCGGACACGTGTCCGATACTTCTGTAAAGTGTCCAAATATTATTTTTTATTGGACACGCGTGTCCGAGGTTCGGACACACGGTCCGACACTTCTGTGAGACAAAATTTATTTTATCTCACTCCTCTCAGTTTTTCCTCTTCTTCAATTATCTCTCTTCATGAACAAGATATATATATATATATATTTAAGTTACATGAACAAAACTTTGTAAAAGACTAAAAGTATATATGTTTATTCATATACATATTTAGTTCATTATAGGTATGTCTCTTCTGCACATCTTCTTTTGGAATTTGGATCAACTTTATTTTTCATTTATTTTCTGTTTTGTCTTATCTATATTTTTCTTATAACAGAAATGAAATTATTGAAATTGATTCTGTTCTTTGTTGTTGTTTTATTTTTCTGTACAAGATTCTAGTAATTATATTTTGAATATATAATTATATATATATATATATAGATGTATCCCCGCCGTGTCCGTGTCCTATTTTTTTGAAATTTGCTGTGTCGCCGTATCCGTGTCGTGTCGTACCCGTGTCCCGTATCCATGTCTGTGTTTCATAGCTAAAGACAAACCAATCAGACCATATTGAATATAACTCCTGACCGGCTATTCAGCGTTGACCAAGGGACCAAGACAATGGGCGACCATTGCTCTCTCTGCTGGAGCGCCAAAACCAAAAGCAATCTTTGTTTTCCAAGTCAAATTAGAGTTTTGGACTCAAGTTCCCTGACCTAATTTCAGCTTGAGTGAAAAGAAAGAAGTCTTTGATGGGAGGTTGGAGGATAAGACCTGCACGATTATACTTAGCTTATAGAGCTGCAACTTGGGTGGGTTTAACCCAAATTAATCCGACTGCAGTTCAAAAATTTTCAAACTTGATTATGCAAATTGCAATTTGATAGGTACTTGAATCGAAAATTAGGACTTGGTTTCATTTCACACAGCTCGGGTTACTATGTCGGCCAACTTGAAGCCCAACCCAAATTACAAAACTCGACAAACCTAAACTATGAACCTGATTTCATACCTTAAGATTATGCATAGGCGGATTGAGAGGGGGGACCTAGGTGGGCTTGAGTGCCCCCCCCCCCCAAAAAAAAAAAAAATAAATAAATAAATAAATAAATTAGTATAGGAAAATTTAACCCACTATCAAAATAAAACAAATTTTAGTAGTAGTATTAACCCCTCAAATATTAGCCCATCTAAACAAGCCCAAGATTTTAGCTATAATTTTAAAATAAAAGCCCAAGCCCAGCCAAACATGCCCAAGCCAAACAAGCCCTAAAGCCTGACTATAGAGAGATCAGAGAGCTCCCTCCAATATATCTAAATTCCTAGTCTTTTATGTAACCGAGACTCTCTCCCTCTAACCCTATTTCAGTATTTTTTTAAAAAAAATTTCAACTCTTTCATCTTTCTATCCCTATTTTTCGTTAGCCCCCCTATTAACAATTCCTGGATTCGCCCTTGAGATTATGGTTGGGGGTTAAGGATTTCATATGGCAAGTTAATCCCGAGTTGAGCCTACAACCCATCTGAGTTAACTTTACTCTCTTAGGCTAGTTTCAACTATATTACGCTTGGAAGTGTTAAATTCATACTTTAAAAAAAGGGTTACATGCAAAAAAAAAAAAAAATCTTTACTATCAATATAGTGCAAACAGGTTTCTGTGTGGTATAAAACCCCCTATACTATTAATTTGGTGCAAATAGATCCATGTATAATATAACCGATATATCTATATAGATCAGAGAGCTCCCTCCAATATATCTAAATTCCTAGTCTTTTATGTAACCGAGACTCTCTCCCTCTAACCCTATTTCAGTATTTTTTAAAAAAAAATTTCAACTCTTTCATCTTTCTATCCCTATTTTTCGTTAGCCCCCCTATTAACAATTCCTGGATTCGCCCTTGAGATTATGGTTGGGGGTTAAGGATTTCATATGGCAAGTTAATCCCGAGTTGAGCCTACAACCCATCTGAGTTAACTTTACTCTCTTAGGCTAGTTTCAACTATATTACGCTTGGAAGTGTTAAATTCATACTTTAAAAAAAGGGTTACATGCAAAAAAAAAAAAAAATCTTTACTATCAATATAGTGCAAACAGGTTTCTGTGTGGTATAAAACCCCCTATACTATTAATTTGGTGCAAATAGATCCATGTATAATATAAAATGACGATAATACCCTCATTTCAGTTGAATAAATTAATAAATATAAATATAGGCCATGTAAAATGACTTTTTTTGCCAATTTGTGTAAAATTGTGTTTGTTTGGGATAAGAATAAAATAAACCTCAATTTGTATAAAATTGGGATAACCTAACTATAGAAACCTAAAACTGGGTATAATGAAAATCGAAACCTAACAGTCCCTTGTATAAAGACACACTCAACAACGAATTTGAGTGATCGAAGGTGTAGGCACTTTCCAAAGGTGGTGGAATCAAATAGCATTTGATGACAAATCAAATATAGAAAACAATAGTTTGATTGCTGCTAACTCTCTGGCTATCCGATCACAATTGGAATACTCCTCTATTTGTTGATGCATCTGGGATAATCCTCTATCTGTGGCTTACCTTCCATATACTTGAAAAAAATGTCTCTCCTAGCCAATTCCATCTCACCTTTTCTCACAAGCCCACCTTCAATCCCTTCAACCCACTTCACTAATGTCTCTGTGACAAATTATCAAGCTGCCATGGAAGGTAAGCCACAAATAGTGTTTTTTAGGGAGAGAAAAATGACCACCAAAATAAAATTATAATTATAATTACTAAACTAACTTTCAATTTTTTTACTTTCAAAATATTGAAAATAGAAAAAATTATTGAACACAATTCTACTTTTTATTTCATTTTATTTCATTTTCTAACCCTATAGAGAGAGAGCAATTTTACTTTTTAAATCTCAACTTATAAGATTGTGAACCCCTTCATAATTACGTAGACTGGAAAAGGAGAGGCTTCTAACCATCTTTCTAATAGGATTGAGGCTTGTTTTGAGGCTGACTTTGCGGTATTGAGATCCTTTCTTTAAGTTCCTGAAAGAGATATCCCTTGGTAATAAGTTTGGTGGGGTGGGGGTTATATGCACATATGGGTGAGGGGTAAAATGAGAATTAAAAGGGTAAAATAGGATTTTTATATTTAGTTTTTGTCAAAAAGTGGTCAGATGGGTTTACTTGCACAGTTTTTGAATTTTATGGACTACCATGCATATTTTCAAAAAGTATGGATTAGTTCTACATAAACCCTATTTATTAGGGGTTTTTTTTGCACTTTAACCCTAAAAAAAAAAGTGAAAAGACAAAAGTTAGTGCAAAGTAAATTCATTTTTTTGATGCAAATTTTTTACTAAACAACTTCAAACTCTCGCATTCACAATAATGCAAAATCTTATCTATGAGAGACAACACATTTCTTAAATTCTTATCCTTCTTGTGTATGGATATTTCAGAGCAATATCAAGCAAACATAGACAAAGTGTTTGGCTTCAAAAAAGCGGGTGCCGATTCCGATGGAACCGGATGGGCGTGCCAGGAACTGCAGTAGTTCCAAAGTGAGATCTAAATAATATTCCAGAAGGATTACTGCGGGACCAGGCGATTGTGATGAGGTTGGAATGACCACCTCAGGGTTCTTTTTGCCTTTGATAAAGGACTTTGGGGTAATTAACTGGCTAGGAAGAAATGAACTACTTGAGAAAGTAATTGACTGGAAAGTAATATTATCTAATGTAAAGTAAAGTGCAGGACTTAGACTAAACATAATGAAATTGCATTGCAGTGTAAAGTAAAGATTATATTGAAATGCATTTTTGGCGTTAAGCAGACCTTCTAAGTTACAATATTATGCCCTATTTATAGAGTTTAGTAATGGTAACTTGCATGTAACCACTTGCTTCTTAAGCTTCCATGTGTCCCATGACTTTGCATGTAACCGCATGTAACTGCTTGCTTCATTGGCTGCCATGTGTCCCAAGACTTTCCATTGGAACGTCATAGTACCTTTCCATTGGACCGACCAGCTTCTTAGGCTGCCATATGTCCCATGACTTTGCATGTAACCACTTGTAACCGCCTACTTCCTAGGATGTGTCCCATGACTTTGCATGTAACCACTTGTAACCACTTACTTCCTAAGCTGCCATGTGTCCCATGACTTTGCATGTAACCGCTTGTAACCACTTGTTTCCTTGGCTGCCATGTGTCCCAAGACTTTCCACTGGAATGTTGTAGTAACTTTCCATTGGAATCGACCAACTTCTTAGGCTGCCGTGTGTCCCATGACCTTGCATGTAACCGCTTGTAACTGCCCACTTCCTAGGATGTGTCCTATGACTTTGCATATAACCACTTGTAACCATTCACTTCCTAGGCTGCCAAGTGTCCCATGACTTTGCATATAACCATTTGTAACCGCTAGCTTCCTTGGCTGCCATGTGTCCCAATACTTTCCACTGGAATGTGGTAGTACCTTTCCATTGAAATCCACCAGGGTAATCTCCTACTGGAAAGTGGAAAATAAGGGTGTAAACATAAAGCTCTTTGGGTTTTGAAAGCATGGGCATATGGTCAGCTCCAGCAATGCACATCACTTCTTTAGTTAGACTTTTCTAAATCATCCATCTCTGGAAGTCTTCCTTCATACTTTGATCTTCTTCGCACACTACAAAAGGCCGATTGACCGACCTGTATTTCTTCTCTGTTAGCAGAGATTCCTTGATCAAGTCTTCAAG